ATATATATGTATAGATAGATAGATAGATAGATAGATAGATAGATAGATAGATAGATAGATAGATAGATAGATAGATAGATAGATAGATAGATAGATAGATAGATAGATAGATAGATCACTTTCTGTTGATTTCATTCTGCTATACTTGTTTGTAAGAATTCACTCTGTGTTTTGAACTGTACAGTTTATTTTTTGGTGATTTCCACTGAAAAAAGCAATAAGAGGAACAACGATGACTGCAGACTGAAATGTTGTCGACCAGACACTCGTTTAAATAAAACAGACATTTGTCAAGCACATTTTCCCTGCATGAAGAGTATCATCTCCCTCTATTAAATGAAACAGCTGTGGCCCTGTGCTCCCGGTGTGGGACAATACAAGGAAAGCCATGGATGTCGTCATCAGCACTGTGCATTGTCAGAGACCGGAGAGGACAATGGCTTTACTGTGACAGAATGGGCAGCACTGTCCCACTCCGAATGTGCCTCCACACGTATTCAGAGAGCCCACTTGTGTGACTCAAGCATCAGCTCTGTGAGGGGTCTTTTTGCTCAAGAACATAACATAAATGCAACGAGCTGATTCAGAGTCTGTCAGGTGTTGGGATGCTCATTGTCATCGGGGTCAGTCTTCCCATGTTTGATGTTCTTTGGCCTCTAAACCTTCGGCACGTAACTGAAACGTCACAGCCAGCGTCACCGGCTGTCACGCCATCATCCAGAACACACTCACACACACAACGTGCCCATCATTTCTCCCAAAGAGCTAGTTTAAAGGGCACCGCGAGTTCAGGGATTACTCCCTTCTCCTTGTGAGGAGTCCACCAGTTTTTCTTCATGCTGCATATCTGGCAGGGTTCCAGTTCCCAGGACAACTTGCCTCAGTGTCCCCATGGGTCTGAAGGACTCTGGGAAGCCCAGAGGGGCAGTGGGAAGGTTTCGACCCCACAGGACCTCCAGCTGAGTCTCGAGGGGATTGTAGCGTCGGTCTCACAGGGAGGGGCTGATGTCACACATCCATGAAAACAAGACCTGGGACAAACGTGACGACTGATGTGCTAGGGATTCATGAGTCTAACAGTCTCAGGGTAGAAGCTGTTCCTCAGCCTAGTGGTTCTATACTTAATGCTCTTAATGAACATTCACTTAATTCATGAACACTTAATGTGCTTCTCTCAACTTCAAAATGTGAAACTTCAGATGATGGTGTGACTCTGAGCAGCTCTGTTGTCCAAGTTAACGTTTTCAACTTGACTTTTCAATTCTGAGCCATTTGTTTCTAAACTTGTGTCCCCAGTTTACTTTTAAAACTAAGAGACGACAAAACCTCATAATAAAAACAAAAATAATTAATCATGATGAAACATTATGAATTCACACCTCAGATAAACTCAAAACCCACTCATAGAGACTTCAGTTTAATACTCAACACGTTAGATTATATTTTTAATTCTTAGCATTATGATGTGACGTTTAATGAAATATTATCTTTAAGTTTAAAGTTTATTTTAACACTGCTGCTTCCTATTCACTGCTAAGAAACAAAGTGACAGTTTTGCACACATGACAATATTTTGTCTGATGAAAGTCATAGCTGTAAGTTTCAGCTGCAAGTTTAACCAAGAGCTCCAGGGTAGTTTTGCTTTTTTGGATTTACTTTTTAATTTTCCATTGCACCCTTTTTAAAATAAATAAACAATAAATATTTATTATTATTGCACCGCTCGGGGTGGCCTCTTGTTGGAGCATCTGTTACATTCATTTTGAGATTTTGCTTTTGGAAACATTAATTCTACTTTTGCTGGATGTAAATCACATTTTTGGATGAGTGTTTCCTCTGGTGTCAGATGCTGTGCAGCTGGAAGGATTTTTACTGAAACTTTTTTTTAGTTTTGGACATTTATTATGATGTGTAACCATGACAACAAGGTGTTGTTTGTTGTTGTTTTTTTTAACAATCGGGAGCAGCTGATTAACACCTAAAAAGCTCAAGTAATACCTCGACTACAGCCCCAAATCTCAAATGAGTTGAAAAGGAGGTGCCATGGATGCATTCCTGTCTCCTTGCCGGTTGTGCTCGAGTGCCTGACCACTGAGATCCTGGAAGTAGCAGGAAACACGGCTCGTGACAGCAGAAGGACAGGATCGTCCCCCAGCAGGTTGCTGGGAGGAGTGGCCATCGCTCTGGGAGGAGTTGTGCTCGGCATTCGGGCGATCCTGCAGCCTGGAGGAACCAAGCGTCCAGTCGAGTCTGGGTGGACAGATCGGACGGCATCTGCAGCTAGTTTCTTCAGATCCACTGTGGAACGGACCTTTACAAGAGATCCTTCCTGCCTATAGCCGTCAGCATAACATCGCTTAATGAAACGAGGATAATGAGTTACAACAACATTTAATTTCCCTTTGGGATTAATAAAATATATTTGAATTGAATTGAATTAAAGAAATAAATATAGTTTTGTTTCCCTGGTTTTTAAAATTATGTAATGACAAAAAAATATATAAACAGTTTCAGTGTCATAGTGTTTGTGCACAGCTCCTTTAACTAAGAGGAAGGTTGTGGCCACTTTGAAGTGGGGATCTATGGAAAGGTTGTAAACAAGCAATATCCTATCTGTTGTAGATAGCTGTTGAACAGCCTCAAGTTGGAGAAATGCTTTAATTCTGACTTTATTGATGAGCTGACAGCTTCAAAACTGTATTAATGGTTCATAAAATCACAGTTTTATAGACTTTTACATTGCCAATTACTTTCTCAACACATGGTTCTTCACAAATAATCGTGATTATTTGCTAGTATGAATAGAAGCAGCAGCAGCTAGCTGTAGCTGGTGCTGTCTGGGAGACTCCTGGGTGGGATGTTAAAACATATCTGCCAGAATAAACATGTAATGCTTAATGAGAGTCATGTAAATGTTTGTTAAACAGTGTTTGCAAACAACTCAAAGAGCTGTCATTTGGCCAAAAATTTGAAACACTTCATCCTTATTATCTCATTATTATCTGTATAAAGTAAGTTGTTAAATATGGAAATTATCATGTGCTCGCTATAGTTTTCTCTTTGTAATTTCTATTTGTGTATGTTGTAATCCAAGCCCCAAGTGCTGATGTGAGTAAACGTTTCATGTCCGGAAGCCTTCATCACATTTTCCTACAGCTTAAATGTAAAAGTTCACTGTGTCTGAACAACACATCAGGATGTCTTGAATCAGGCCCATGTTTAATTTCTCTGGAAGTCCTGTGATGTAATTGCACTCAGGGAAGCCCTTCACCAGGGCGGACTGCTGAGCCTGTCAAGTACTCTCCTCTGTGCAGTCAAAACAGTGAGCTACAAACAGAAAGGGATGAAAACAGGAGGAGCGCTGCTAGCTCTGTTATTGCACCACAGTGGGGAAAAAAATGCACATTCCAGGAAATCTCCCGCTTCCTGCCTCCAGCTTTCTGACTCCAGCAAGGCTGCTGTCCTCATACCTGACTAGCTGGGGAACCTTTCTGCAGGCCTGAAGCAAGGTCAGGAAAGCAGAAGGGAGAGGAGACTTGACCACAAACCAGCTGATGCTGTCAAAAATTAGGTCAATGAGAACGCTAATCTAGAAATGAACGTTAAAGGTATGGTGGGAGACTCTTGGGTTGTTGCATGGCTGATATAAGATCAGAAGGTCACGCATCAGAAAAAAATAACCCGCACTGCTGAGATTTACTAGAAAGGACGTTATCTCTGATAAAAGGAAAGATTGAAGGGAAGCTCACAATTCAGTATGAAACTGAAATGATTCATATTTACGGAAAGTCAAGTGTGATGCAACTGGAGAGAGAGAGAGAGCAAGAGAGCGAGAGAGAGAGCAAGAGAGAGAGAGCGAGAGAGAGAGAGAGAGAGCAAGAGAGAGAGAGTGAGAGAGAAAGAGAGAGAGAGAGAGAGTGAGAGAGAGAGAGAGAGAGAGAGAGAGAGAGAGAGAGAGAGAGAGAGGAAAAAACAACAAATTTCCTCATTTTAGATCGGAAAGAGACGTCCAATGCATCAGTGAGCAGAACCACGTCATCCAATGGAGTTTTTCTGTAAAAAATATGAAACTAGAACATGTTTTCTGGTAACAGATCCAAACTTTTTTTTTTTTTTTTTTTTTGGTCTTTTTGAATGATTCTGTTTTTTGAGTCTGTCTGTGCAGGGGATACACATTTATACAGCCTTTTTGTTTTTAACTTGGTGTTAATGAGCAGCTGATGGATTTGTGTGTGTGGAGCATGTCTACCAGTAGAGGGCAGAGTTCATTAACCACTGTGTTTATCCAGAGTCAGCAGAGAGTTTTGTGCGACCAGGCCAGAAAAAAAAAAAAAAATCAACAAAATAAAGCGTTGCATTTATGGTGGAAGGTCAGAATGAGCTGCTATAACCCAATAAAAATGTACAAACAAGACAATTAAAGTTTTAAAGGGTCATTTAAGAGCAGTTAGTCATGCAAACAGAGAGCACGGATACAGTTAGATACCGCAGGCCAGCAGACGAGACAACGTGCAGCAGATTTTGTTGGAACTGCTCTCCAGATCATTTCTAACAGAAACAATCTGCTTCTTTCAGCTTTTCTTCTTTCTGTTTGTTGATTCATTTTTGGTCAACTGAACCTGTTGTTCATTAAAGCTTGTTGTTTCCACTCTACCTCCTCTCTTGTGTCATGTCTCGGCTCCCCTCACATCTTTTGTCCTGGCTCTCTCTCTCTCTCTCTCTCTCTCGCTCTCTCTTTGCTCGGGTGACATCATTAATTTCCAGTAAAGTCCAGAGCTGCAAACGGGCACTCCTCCTCCATCCCAGTGCATTACATT